AGGGCTTCCCAGGACTTCCCCTCGGCTGGCTACCTCCCATCCTGCACCTCTCCATAGTGGGAGATATGTAGAGAATCCTCGTGGCTTTGTGGAGACCTTCTTTTCCTTCTCTAGGAAAGGAAAATCAGGTGACCTGTCCCAGCAGCTTGGGGATCACCTGTAGCCTCCAGCTTAGCTAACACAGATGCTCGTTTCTTTTCCAGGCAGACACTTTTCCAAATGTGTTATTAAGTTGTGCCTCTTTCCTTGTTTGCTTGCTGCTGATGGATGGGTTTTTATTTTTCTGTTGTCTGTTGGTGGTGTTTACTGTTTGTACTTCCTTTACTAGTCATTGGGTAAAAGGGAATCTGTAATCGTGTCTCATTCAACACATCTAAATGGGAAGCACCATCTCGTTCTTTTCCAACTGTGTTCACTGGTGAAAATTACTGAAGAAACCATTCACTCTGTCACACATCCTATGTGTAAATATCAGTCCTGTTAATGGCACAGACCTCTGGGAGGTAGAATGGAGGGAACTAGGTGCAAATTAAAATGGAGGGGTGATAATTTGAGATGCCTTTCAGCTTTACGTTTGAGAATAGATTAGAAAGGGATCTGTTCATATATCACAAGGTATATTTGTGCTACATTTTAATAAAAATTTATCTCCCATACCCTTCCATACCCTCCATTTGGTTAAGGGTGGGTGAACATAAATAATGTTTTTTTATGGGCAAAAGTGGCCTGTGACCTTAATACTATTTTTTCTTTTCTTTATTTCCCTAAGCTTCTTGCTTCCTTTCTACATCATCACCTCATATGCAAATATTCAGAGACTAGATAATATTCACACATTCTTTATTCCTGATATATCTCACATTAAACAGGAGCATTCACATAATCAACTCATAAATTAAAAATATGTAACTTTAAAACTTCATTCCCCTGAGAATCTGGGGGAAAATGTGGAATGAACAGTTACATGTTTACCATGTAGAAGGGTGTTTGTTCTTCAGTTATATCCTAATTGATTCTTTCACACCTCTGAGGTAAGTGCTGACTACAGAGCTAAAACGGGCTAAAAACTGAGTGATGGTGTGGAGAGGTGGAGGTGTGTGTCAGTGTGGTGGTGGGAAGGGGGGAAAACTGGGCCAATGGCTCCTGCAGTGAAGGTGACAACACAGCTGAATGTGAATTTTGTATTTGATAGTCATCTGGGGATGAGGCATGGGTAACAGGTAGTTCTAGTCCTCTGTCCGTATGTGACTCTAAACTACCTCTGATAGATGCACCCAAGAAACTCAAGGTGAGACTTAAAGACTACAGATTTTTACAGTGTTAAGTACCTGGGCCATACACTTCGCCAACCCATTGCCAGAACAATCTGGGGCACATAATAAAATGCCTGTAACTCCCTCCCCCAATTTGGCAATATATACCAAGAGTTTACTTAAAAAGGTCATTTTAGCTGGACTGGGTTCCTGGGGCTCAGATACTATTCTGGTGTGTAAGTAGGTGTTACCCTTCCTCCAAAGATAAGCATTTGATTTTGTGGCTGGAATGTTGAAGGATGCATTTGGGCGGGGCTCCTTGGTGTACCCAGGGTTTACTTAAAGGTTGGAGGAGACTTTTGGGGGAAAATAAAAGGCTCAGACCTTGGTCTACTTCATTGAGATTGAAGATATAAATCATGCCTAGTGGGGAGAGGGTGGGTGCAGACTAAGGGGACTGCCATGACACCCTTGAGAAGGAATCCAGCAATAGGGAGGGCTCCAAACAGGACAAAGAAGGAAGTGTTATCTCCGAAGAGGCAGTGGAGGGCTGTCGCCAACCTCACTCCAACCTGTGCTGTGATAGACTTTGGTAAAATAACTAGGCATATGTCAACTGAATAACTGCATCATTGAAGAGCTGAAGCACCCAGGGCCCAAGCAACTCTTGTATTGAGATTCCATTCGAGGAATAAAACTGTCTCCAAGTTCCGTATCTCCCCAGATATGCTCAGCCTCACTGCCTCCCAGGCTTCAGCATGTTGCTCCACTTTCCCAATAAAGTGGCCCCTGGGAACTCTGAACTTCTCCCATGGCCTTAAAGCCCCTGCTGCCTGCTGCCACCCTTTGCAGGGTGGGGGAGAAAGGGGAGAGGAGATATGTGGAGGTGGCTGCAGGAAGGGATTGCCCATGGACTCTTCGCCTCCTATAGCTCCAGGACTCATTTCCTACTCCATCAGGCTTTACTTGTGGTTGCTCTGGATTTTCCAATGGCTGCCTAAAGGCACCAGGTAACATACCCCGGAAGTACAGGGGTGGGGGTGAGGGGGGGTGGAGGGGATGGGGTGGTATAAGCCATAGGACAAATTCTGACCAACAAGAGAGGAGATTGGAAAGAGTCTGCAAACAAATTTCTTTCCCTCTTATCTCATGGCCGTTCCAAGACAAAGTGACTCAAAATGGTTTCTCTGGAAATAACCCACATTATTAAGAAATGAGCTAGGTTTTCAAGCTGTAACCAGTGGATAATGTATGACTTTATGTTTGCTTCCTTTCTTTCCTTCCTTCCTTCCCTTTTGTCCTCACTCCTACTTCCCTATGATTACAGCCCCCAGCGAAGCACTAGCATGTCATCAGTTTGTTTTCCAGAGAACCCAGGCTGACAGAGAATGTAAAAAAGGGTAGATTTGGTGGATGTTTGCAATGATGGCAAGGGTACAAAAGAACCTTTGTGGCATTTAGCATGTTTAGGAGCCATAATAGGTCAGGGGCAGCAGATCTGGGCTCTGGATCCATCATAAAGATGGGTTGACAAGTTTGGGAGTTAGGGGTACAGTATGGTTATGGAATTATGCCTCCAGGAAGTACACTTCCTGTTCTCTAGCAGGTGGCAACAGGTAGACAACTACAAGAACTTTTTCATGGCTATAGAGGCCTATATTCCAGGGATCACAGCAACATTTTGGGTGAGGGTCTCATTTAGGGGGTGAAATTATTTACAGCATCAAGCCTTTATAGCAACAAGTGGTAATAAGAAATCACCCCATCAGTGAAAATGAAAAGAATTAGAGGCCTCTGTGTCCACTGGAGACTCTCTTTTGCTAAAACCTTGGAAGCCTATACTTTGTTTTATCAGGGAGGGTAGAGTGTCCCATACACACACACACACACACACGTCATCTATATGATATATATTATGTGATATATATGTGATATATATTATGTGAGATATAGGTAATCCTCACCACAGTGCAGGGGAGCTGACATTATTCTCACCCCCATTTTGCAGATAAGGAATGGCAAACAGTGAGGTTAAGTACTTTGTTCCAGGTTATATAGATTCAGGACTCAAACCAACTCGATGCTCTTTTGCTCAAAATCCCAGCTATGGTTTTGAAGGCAACTGAGGAGGAGGTATACTTCACTAGAGATTCAAAATGTTTTTCATTGGTTAGTGGCTCTACTTCAGGCAATGAATCAAGACAAAGGGAAATGATTCAAAAGGTGATTGAACTGGGACTCTCTTAAAGTTGTGCCAGGTAAGGTAATTTGTATCAGAACCTATAATTTATGTAGTCATATCTTTTTTACATATTGCATAAATTGGGGAGTATGTGGAGTGTTGTGGGACTAAATGTATTTGTATGTGTTCAGCACACTGTATAATTGACTCAGTTATCCATGTGGGGATTATTCACTTTTAATTTGCAATCTGGCTTCTCCTTTTAGTTAGGATGTTTTTGGGCTGCTTTAGGAATGCCAACTAATTTAAATAATTAAGTAAAACATAATTAGGGAGGAAAATTAAATTCAACCTTTTGCCAGCTCCTGAAGATTCTACAGCTGAAATGTAACTCTAATCCATCTACTACTAGTTTTTCATTCTGCAATGTCATTTTACTACTACAGGGTTTTATTGCTTTCCACAGACTATAGGAATAGTTCCCTGTCTGGTTTCTCTGCTTACCTCTTTCCAATCCAACCATCATTCTTGTTGTTGTTGTTGTTTTTTTTTTTTTTTTTTTTTTTTTAGCTGAGTCATCCTGCCACCTGTTGGCAGCTCAGCAGCAGCTCAGCTCGGGCCGGGACTCGAACTGCTGTTGCTCAGAGCTCATACTCTTGAGCGAGCTCTTAACCACCTGAGCCACTCGGCCGGCCCCCAGTCATCATTCTTAAACAATCTTCAAACAAACAAACAAAACAGAAACAAAAACCCAGTTGTCATCCCTAAAATTTCCTTGCTTGAAAACATTGAATAGCTCCCCATTTTTCACCAGATTAAGTGCACATGCCACGACTCATCATGCAAGGCTTTTTCATGTCACTTGCCCTAGGAAGCTTTCCTGATCATACTTCCGATGACTTACCACTGTCCCCACTCTGAATCCCCTTAATGCACTACAAGTTTTTCTCTGAGGTAGACCAAGATATTAGTGAACCCATGTTGTCTCTTGTGAGATCCTTAATGGTAGTCTCTGCGCGGTTCATCTCTCCTACTATAATGTACCTAGCTCAGGGCAGGTCCCTAGGGAGGGTGCAACAAGCGCTTGTCTATCTGTACTGCTGACAAACCCAGAGAGCAGAAATTTTGGTCTTTTGTATCCCAAGTGCCTAGCACAGTGCCTGGCACACATAGGCGCTCAAGGAATACTGTTGAATAAATGAAGGTACATACTGCAAGCTCCATGTGGCGCATTCCAGAGCTCCAAAGGGCTGATCCTACCACCTCTCAGGCGGGGTGATGCATGGAGCCCTATACACACACCTAAGTGTACATATATTTTTGTACTTAACTACATACATAATACATAAAAATATACACATCCCTATCTGGGTAGATAGAAGTAAATATAACTATAAATGAATTAATATGCATACAGCCTTAACTCCAAACGGGTTAGAGAGGCAGGGAGACGCCCCGCACCCCTGCAGGACCCCGGGGCAGGACCGCGGTCCCGGGCGGGTGGGAGCCGGGAGACTCGCGAGGCGGCGGAGCGGCGCGGCCCTTCCGGCTTTCCGTCCGCCGCGGCCGCCATTGGCTGGGATCGGAGCAGCTGACGGGCAGCGGCCGGGCGGGGGAGCTTCAAGGATGGCGGCGTCCGCGGCGCTGATCCTGCGGGAGAGCCCCAGGTACCCGCCGGCTTGGGCCCCTGCGGGGACTGGGCCGCGCAAGGGGGCCCCTGCGGGAGGGCCGGAAGGGGCGGGCGCGGGGCGGCGGAGGTCGCCGCGCGGGGGTCCCCGGGGGGCGCACGGGACTGGGCGGCGCCCCCACCTTCCCGGGGGCTCACCTGCGTGGGGTCACCGTGCGCCTGGCCGCTGAGGTCAGGACGACGGTGTGTGGCCTGTGTCCCTGTTCCCAGGGCGCGGCGTGGGCAGCGCGCTGCCTGCGGGGATGCTGAGCTGGGGGCGGAGACGCCCCATTTCCGCCTTCAGTTCCGTCAGACCCGATTGCGAGAAAGGCTCCCCTCGCTGCTGCACGGTCTTTAATACCTGTGACGTGTGCATACCCCCTTTCAATCAAGATAGACTAGACCGCAGGCCAGGAGTCTGGGGCTTGGGTAACATTCCGTAGTCAGAATTTGGGGACATTGCTTTTGTTTTCATTTTGTTTATTGTTAATTTCTACTTACGGCAGGGAAGGCCCGCTGTCCATGGTGGTGATTTAAAGTTCTCTTTTAAAATAAAATTATTTAAGTACAAATGACTCCCTTTAATGAAAAATAATTTAATAACAGTGCAGGTGGCGTGTTGATGCGGGAAACCTGCTGAAGTGCACAGGCAAATAATTGAAGTGGGAAAATAACTGATTTGTGCCTGGATTGGGCAGGAATCTTATGGAAGACAGTTGTCATTTCTGTCAAGTTTTTCCTTCTTCCTGGGTTGCTTGAGTTCTGACAGCCAGTTGTTTTCCTCACACCAGTGTCCTGGGTAACACATACCATATCAGTAAAACATAATATGGTGCAGTAGAATTCTTCTTATCACATAATTTAAAGTTGGTTATTACAATTGAAGTAGGATTTTAAACAACTCTGTGCTTAGTGACCCCACATGGTTCTTATATGTAGTTGTTTTTTTTTCTTTTTTTAAATTTCATTATCATCTGCCAAGAAGCATTCTTTTCTTTATATTTTTGGTGAAAAGTCATTTCCCTCCTTCCACTCTTCAGAGTTCCGTTTTGGGTTAAGTGAATACTTTTAACATCTGCTAAATTAATGCCATTCCCCACAGACTCCAGACTTACCCCTCTGAGTTTGCCTTGCCCAAAAGAAAGAGAAAATTTGCTAAATGAACCTTTTCAATAGAAGGGGGGATGAGCGGGGG